AAAAGTACTTTTACACACACTCTAAAAATGTGTTGAATTTACTTAACCAAACAAGTTCTACTAAACTAAGTTGAGTAAATTGAGCAATTCACAGATTTTTAAAGAAAGTTAGTAAATTACTAAATAACACTCAAAAACATGTTGGATTTACTTAAACAAATTATATCAGCTTGTTCCACTCAGCTAAACTGAGTACATGCAAATCAACATACAGTAAATATGTAGTAAATGTGCTACATTTACCCAATTCAGTCGACTGGAGCCAGTTGGCATTATTTGTTTAAGTAAATCCAACATGTGTGGTTTTTGAGTGTAGGCTTGGTGGCACCAGTTGATATAACTTGGTTAAGTAAATTCAACACTTCATATTTAAGAGTGCATAAACAACTCCTTTTCATGGTGTTATATTTAAATTTGTAATGTGTAACAGKGTGTTAAATTTGAAAGTAAAGGAGTAAAAGTATCATTTTTRTGTATTGTACGTAAGTAAAAGTKGTGATTAAAAAATACTTGGTAAAAATGCAAATCCTCAAAGAAAAATGACTTACAGTAAGTACTAAAACGAAGTAAATGTACTTAGTAATAAACCTCTGCCAAAAACCAAGGACGTGGAGTGACAATGTGACAAATGGCTACACATAATGGAGCAGACACATCTTTGCAACAATGCAAAAAAGAAAAAAAATCAATTTCAGGTATGGTATAGAATTCATCTGCAGTATTGACTGAGCCAAGATATACTTAATCTCAGAGACTATCTGTAATAAAATTACCAAGTCAATGAACATATCCTGCATGTGTGTTTGTGGGGTAAAATAGTAAACAATAATAATAATAATAATGAAAACACCTCTAAGAAAAGCTGCTGCACGGAGACAATAAAAGTGCAAGAGCCTCTGTGAATGTGATCCTCCGGCCCAATAAAACTCCTGACAGGAGCGCAGTCCAGATCCAGCTGTGGCTCACATCCAATGGGATCCCTCTGAGACCCGCTTCAACAAGATGGATGACAGMCACTGAGCTCCTAACTGGGCCCGCTCAACCCAGACATCATTGGGTCCGGGTTGAATAAAGAGGYGGCGTCTACTTGCCTGCACCTCCCTGATAGAAGGTACTGGACGGGTGACAGCGGCCCATAAATAACTCCGTCTGCTCGTCGAAGAACGCGCTCACTCACAGGAATCAGAGGGGCGAGAAGTGGATCACAAAAATCTGACTCTGTAAACCGAATAAACAAGTGTTTGGAGCAAGGTCAAAGTGATGAAAAACACGTGGTTTATTCTTTTACACACTTTTAAAGGGATCCGTGATTAGTTGTGACGTTAGACTTTATTTGATAAACATGTACCTAACCTAACCTAACCCTGACCCTAACCTTAATACATACTGTATAAGGCAATATAGCGTCGGCGTTAGCGTGAAGGCTAACAGGCTAAGCTGAGGTTCTTCTTCCATGAAGYAGCTCTGTTGTCCTCCATCCATATTTTCAGTTACAGGCTGAGTCATTTCCTTCTCCTCTCTGTCAACGCTCTCTGGTTTCATTTAAAAGAGTCGATCATCAGATATTGTCCAAGATTAACCTTCAGGGTGCAGCTTGCTCACACAGATGATGGGCTTTTTCTAATCAGTGGCTACACCCTCGCCCTACTCACTCCTCACTCAGTTTGCACATGCCGGCGGAGGGTTGGCCATATTAAGTCCCATCTGAAACCAATTACGTACGAGGGCAAGTGGTTTATTAAGCCCTCCACAGCGAGTCAGCATCCAWTGCAGACTTGAGCAGCACGTGCAGCACCAAATAGTGGTCAGCATGGAGGATGAGACGTATAAGTATAAGTTCTGCATATGTTTTGTACACATATTTACAAAGTAAATATCTCAAAGGCTATAATCATGTTCAATTCAAACTTTTTTAATGACATAGAACCCTGGTCCATATTTAAAAAAGAAGAAAGGAAAAAAATAAAGAAAAAGTAAATAAATTATTTTAAAAAGTGCAATTATTTCGACAAGTTATCACTGTTTGTTACAAATAAAGTCATATCTGAGAACTCTCTAAAACGTGGGCCTATAATTAAATATTTTTTAGGGTCTACTGACAAAACAGTAGTAAATATGATCTGTTTGCTGATGACACTACATTTTTTGTTTGGGTAGGGATATTGAACGGATGTTGGAAAGGATACAAACAGAATTTGTAAAAATACAAACATGGTTCAAACTTAACAAATTGTCGCTAAATTTGGATAAAACTAATTACATGATATTCAGTAACAAAAAGAAAACTATTGATTTTCCATATAAAGTTGATGGTGTTGAGATTAGTAGAGTCAGTGAGATAAAGTTTTTGGGCATTATCATTGATGAAGGGCTGACATGGAGAGCTCATGTGAATTACTTAAGAACAAATATAGCAAAATCTGTTGGAGTCCTGTATAAAGTAAGGGAGTTTTTCAATGATAAATCTGTATTTATATTATACAGTACAATAATATTTCCATACTTGGTATACTGTGTTGAAGTC